TTTCCTAGGAGAGGAGAGGGAAGGGTTTACCGTCATCATGATGATGTCAACAGCCCTAGCAAATTCTGTCCATTTCGAGAATTGGACCGCCAATCATGTTGCTGAATGGCTTAGAGGTAGGTTCTGCTTACAAGGTTATTCTGGATTTCGCAACGTTACAATGTTTATGGCCTGTCATGTTCAGTAGGCCTTATAATCAGCTGATGGTGTCAATGTCAAAATCGGGACAAAATTTCTCTCACTTCTTCTGTTACCTTCTGCTGACCTACTACATCTGATGGCAGATGATGTCAAAGACTCTAGATATGAAAGAAAGAAGTGAGGTATTAAATTTATGAGCTAATTCAAAAAGAATTTGTAGTATTCAATGACGGTGAACAGGTTGAGAATATTACCACTACAATTACAGTCGAGGAATCCTTGGATTTTATTCACTCGAAACCAATACGTCTGCTGTAATAAGTGGATTAATTTGGAGTTCTAGTGAATCCTCGCAAATCCAATGAAGTTTCCAGATTGTGTTAAAGAGTTTGTTGCCTGCAACCAGCAGATAGCGTTTTGATAAAAAGAATGATGTCTTTGGTGGTTTGGAGCTTATTGTTTTGTATGGATGAGCATGAGAATATCTCGCTACTTTTGGGATTGGAATATGTTTTGCTGAACTGAAATGATGTTACTCTACATATATGTAATTTTATATAGCATATACATACATTGTTTATACCATCAATTTCCGTGTATAGTGTGCACTTTTTCATGCTAAAACTGTCGTGTCAAAAAGGAGGTGCGCATTATATGCAGGAACATGCCATTCTTGGGGTTATCATTTCCGAGTTCTGCGTCTGCCATATTGGATTACCTCCCTTCACACAGTTATATCTAAGAGTCGTTGGTCATATATCATAGTTTGGAGATAAAAACAACCAAAAAAAAAAAAATAAAATAAAAATTATGTTTGGCTAGAAGACTGTCAGACAAGTTATATCTTGTAACAGCATGACACAATGCAACATTAAAGGTGTTTTGAAATGCACAACCCTGTATACATGAAACAGAAGTCATTATTTATTTCAATGTCTCTGCTAGGAATCGAACCGGGGATCCCTTGCTTACTAGTCTGATGCTCAACAAATCGAGCTAAAGAGAAGTTCTCTCCAGCCGAATGGCATATTATTGTGGCTAGTATTTTACCAGGGTTACCTACTCCCCCTCCAGGAAATAACTTGCCCTCGAATTTCCAGGGGTTACAGTGATGCTGGTGGGGCATGGCTAAGTACTATTCCTGGGTCCCTACATGGGCGTCAAATGTAACAGTCACTCATAAACCATGAGAAGACGTTGAGGGTTCGGTGTAGACAATTTATTCCAGTAAATAAACAAAAACCTACAAAACAAAACATGACATGCATTACTCACACACACATACCTGTCACATATAGCAAAGAACGATAGCTCTTACCTAGTTTTATTAAACAAATTTCTCTCATTTATACATAGTGATAAGATATAAATTGTATTTTACAATATACAATTTATTACTACACATAACTTTACAACTATTTTCCATTTTAAAATGAAAAGATAGCTACAATTAAATTAGATTAAACACCTAAACTATAAAGCCTTTACGCCATTTATATACAATATGGGTATTTTCATACATTACATAAATATGTATTACTTTATGGAAGTGACTTCAGTCAATGTAAACATAGTTACATCCACTCACCCTCCGAGATACTGCAGGGGTTTACACGCTGGTTTTTAGTCATACCATTGCCAGGGACAGGACAAAAGGGTTTGTTCACATCTGAAACAATATTCACATAAAACTTAACATCATTTTTGATGTAACATAGTTAATACATAAATTTTCATTAAACCCTTGAATCTATAAAATAAGAAAATTTACATATTTATTTTTTGGTATACAGGTTTAGATGATGCAATTCTTCCATATGTACATTTCTTCCTTAACAATGGCATTGATGGCAAGAAGCTGATGTTGCTGACACCATTTGACCTTGAGAAGATCAGTATCATAAAGGTCGGGCACCAGGAACTTATTCTAGAAGCAGTAGATCTGCTGAAGTCTCTGGTAAGTCAGGAGTCAATATGTATACACAGAACCATATCTATATACACTACTATTCGTTACTGGTATATATCATGCTTAAACACAGAAATGTGTTAATCATGTATTTATATCCTAACAAGGATATATGTACAAATTATACTCCATGTTGAATCAGCCACCTACATATTGGTCACTATTGCAACTAGCTAATGTAAGATAAAGATTGATCAGGATTTTATTTATTACTAAATATTATTGTAATTGTATGCTTTATAAATGTAGTTGGTAATATTCACTGGAAAATTAAATACTTAATAAATATTTTTACAGTTAATAAAAATTGCAGAAAATAAATGATATGTACAGTGATACCAACATTCAATTAGATTACCATAAACTGTAGCTACAACCTTGATATTGAGGAAAAACAAGAGCCCTAGTAAATTGAACAAGGATAGAGTAATGGTGTCTGATTTAGAAAGACTTCACTCTAATGATTTTATTGATCTATGTACACTATTTGCTTTCTATTAATTTGGTTATCTTGTGTATCGTTTTATCATAGACCATTTCACATGGCTCTACAGATATATTTCTCTTTTGTTGTTTGCAGCGCTATGGGTATGAAACAGAGACCCTCCAACATCTAGCATTACAGCTTGGATGCAAAGCTCGAAGTTTACATAATGAAATCCAAGCCAAGTCCGCTGAAAACGATAAGAATCGTGCAAACATATCACAGGGCCTTCCATCCAAAAGGCTTTCTATAAAGATCCTGTCAGCTCTGGCTGACCTTAGCATGACATTGAAAAATGTTGTGTCGTGGCTAGACAGGTAAAACATTGTGTTGTGACTAAACAGATAAAATGTAAATGTGTCATGGCCAGACAGCTGTGTTGTGGCTAGACATGTAAAAAGGCAAAATATGTCATGCTTAGACATGTAAAAATGTAAATATATCATGGCCGGACAGGTAAAATGTAAATATATCATGGCCGGACAGGTAAGATGTAAATACATCATGGCCGGACAGGTAAGATGTAAATACATCATGGCCAGACAGGTAAGATGTTAATACATCATGGCCGGACAGGTAAGATGTAAATACATCATGGCCGGACAGGTAAGATGTAAATACATCATGGCCGGACAGGTAAAATGTAAATACTGTTAGATCATGGCCGGACAGGTAAGATGTAAATATATCATGGCCGGTCAGGTAAAATGTAAATATATAATGACTGGACAGGTAAAATGTACATGTATCATGGCTGGACAGGTAAAATGTACATGTATCATGGCCGGACAGATAAAATGTACATGTATCATTGCCGGACAGGTAAAATGTAAATATATCATGGCTGGACAGATAAAATGTAAATATATCATGGCTGGACAGGTAAAATGTAAATATATCATGGCTGGACAGGTAAAATGTAAATGTATCATGGTTATACAGCAACACTAAGGGTGTCATGGCAGAATTTTTTTTTCACTCTCGTAAAGCTTTCTATACCTTGGTCATAATATATGATTGTCAGCCGTCTGTGGTTCACTTGGTTTTCTGTCCATACATCAGTCCTTGCATTGTCCTTTGTCAGTCCTTAAACAATTCGTGTTATTTTTATTTCTTTAGAAGTACTGAATAGATCTTTCTCAAGTTTCTTGTGAAACCAAAGGGTTGCCATTGGACTTGATTTTGCCCCTTTGGTTTCTTTAGAAGTACTGGATGAGACTGACCAGAAATACAAAATATCCAACAGGCAACCATTATGGATTATACTGTTAAATATTTTTATCCCTTTTTCTTCAGAGAAATTTTCAAATTTTACAATTAAGAACAAATACATAGGAAAGAGAGAAAAGTCAGAAAAAAGGTACAACTTTTAAAATAAAAATCTAAGAAAGATGGGTGCCAAGAGTCCAATAAGATCTTTTGTTTAACAGTTAATAATGTATATATATGTAATAACACTTTTCATGTTGGATTTTTAACACATTGATATTGACCTAATGGGTAACTATTATTCTTAGATCTCCATTTGAGTCTATGTATGGCCTTTGTCTGCTGAGGAATACCATTGTGAAGCTTGGGATTGATCTGGTATCATCTTATCAGAAGGACAGTAGACAGAATGATATAGAGGAAAACATTTCCAAATCTGTAAGTTATTTAACCATGACAAAAATTTGTGATAATCAAGTTTGTAATCTGAAAAGAATGTTAATTGAATAGTTGTAATAGGTCATTTAATTCATACTTGGTGGTAAGCAAAAATAATCAATTTTCATTTTTTTTTCAATTTTGTGCTGATATGTATTCTTACAGAAGTATCTGTTAAACTTTGTATTATAGAGTATGATCCTGACAAGGTAATACTGAATATGTAGATGACCTTTGAACTTTGTGTTACAATGTATGATTCAGTTAGAAATGTATGACCTTTAAACTTTATGCTACAATGTATGATTCTGACAAAGGTTTATGTATGACCTTTGAATGTTGTGTTAAATTGTATGATCTTGACAAAGGTGTATGTATGACCTTTGAACCTTATGTCATTGACTTTTAGCATTGGTACTCCTCAAAATCTTTAAATAAGTTTTCTGGACTTGAAATGAAAAAACAAAAATTACACAGAAGTTACTGTACATTGTATGTTACAGTGTATGAGAATAACAAATGTGTGGATATGACTGTGTTACAGGGTATGAGCTGGACAAGGGTTTATGTATAACCTTTGAAATTAATATTACAATGCATGATTCTGGCAGAAGTGTAAGACATTTGAACCTTGTGTTATAGCACAATTCTGATAGAAGTGAATGACTTTTGAACCTCTTTTTCAGTGTTTGATACTGACAGAAGTGTGTGATGAATTAGTGATTAAGAACAAGGAATCTCTAGTTGTACAGCCTGCTTCTCTGGAGCAAGCTACTATCAGAAAGAAGCCAGGCGAAGAACTTGTAAGTTGATCTTTATAAAGAATGAGTTCTAAATTAAAATATCTTTTGAACATAGAATGGAGCTATGTTGGCTACCATAGTTATATTTTGTAACTTACTGTAGATCTCACATAAATCTTGTGTCACAAGAGGTTTCAGATATTATCTGCATTGCTCACTCCTTTATGCTGTAGATGATGAAACCTGTAGTTACATTACCAACAGATCAACAGAATGGTGTGTTACCACTGAGATACTGTCACCATATCAGAACCATGATAATCATTGTGCAATAAGCTTGTTAAGAGCTCCATTTAATTACTAAACAGGTGTAACAGAATAACAGGTGCTTTTAGAGGTTGAGGTCTAGTATGAACTGTTAATTTTGTTTTAGGGGATGCATATCCAGTCGTCCTACTATGGGATTCATGTCATTGGAGGCATTAAGGAAATGGTGAGTAAAATATTCTGAAAATATATATATAAAACAAATTCTAAGGGGCATCAGAACTCCCAACGGTAAAACATATTTCTTGTTAATCTCAGATAACCACAGCAGGACACAGGGTCATTGTCTTGGGTTTGTTGCATGATTGAAGAAGTTTTCATATCAGTGACCTTGACCCATTCAAGGTCATAGGAGACAAGTGTGTTAAAGTATTCTTATCAATAGTCAAGAGCCTCCAGAGCCATTATAATTTGTCTGTAGTATACTGGGCCAAATGTTTAAAAATCTTAAAACTGCTTCTTCTACATAACAAAAAATCGGAAGGTTATAATATTTAGCCAGCAGCATTCTACAATGAAAAGCTAAATGTGAGTTCACAATTATATTTATTTCAACTGAAACTTAAATTTTTGAAGTCCTTTTTTCAGTTTCATCCTATGGAGAAAAAAAAGGCAAAATGGGTGATACATGCAGTAGTTAAACTTCAATAAAAGTTTCCATGTTAAACATCAGGGTATGTTTTCCTGTTTTGGTATGTTGACATACAGGCACATATGGAAAACACCACCTGTGTAATTCTTAAATTTGTGTTTCAGTCACCAGCTGATTTATGTGGTAAAATTGAGAAAGGGGATGAGGTTATTCAGGTCAACCATAAAACTGTGGTAAGTAGTCTAATAAATGAAATTTTTCACCTTGATATCGACATTTCAACATATTTATTATAATAATAGAAGTCAACACTTCCTTCATATCACACCCATAAATCTACACTACCTAATATCACACCCACAAATCTACACTACCTAATATCACACCCACAAATCTTCACTACCTAATATCACACCCACAAATCTACACTACCTAATATCACACCCACAAATCTACACTACATAAATATCACACCCACAAATCTTCACTACCTAATATCACACCCACAAATCTACACTACCTAATATCACACCCACAAATCTACACTACCTAATATCACACCAACAAATCTACACTACCTAATATCACACCCACAAATCTACACTACCTAATATCACACCCACAAATCTACACTACCTAATATCACACCCACAAATCTTCACTACCTAATATCACACCCACAAATCTTCACTACCTAATATCACACCCACAAATCTACACTACCTAATATCACACCCACAAATCTACACTACCTAATATCACACCCACAAATCTACACTACCTTATATCACACCCACAAATCTACACTACCTAATATCACACCCACAAATCTACACTACCTAATATCACACCCACAAATCTTCACTTCCTAATATCACACCCACAAATCTTCACTACCTAATATCACACCCACAAATCTACACTACCTAATATCACACCCACAAATCTACACTACCTAATATCACACCCACAAATCTACACTACCTAATATCACACCCACAAATCTACACTACCTAATATCACACCAACAAATCTACACTACCTAATATCACACCCACAAATCTACACTACCTAATATCACACCCACAAATCTTCACTACCTAATATCACACCCACAAATCTTCACTACCTAATATCACACCCACAAATCTACACTACCTAATATCACACCCACAAATCTACACTACCTAATATCACACCCACAAATCTACACTACCTTATATCACACCCACAAATCTACACTACCTAATATCACACCCACAAATCTACACTACCTAATATCACACCCACAAATCTTCACTTCCTAATATCACACCCACAAATCTTCACTACCTAATATCACACCCACAAATCTTCACTACCTAATATCACACCCACAAATCTTCACTACCTAATATCACACCCACAAATCTTCACTACCTAATATCACACCCACAAATCTTCACTACCTAATATCACACCCACAAATCTACACTACCTTATATCACACCCACAAATCTACACTACCTAATATCACACCCACAAATCTTCACTACCTAATATCACACCCACAAATCTACACTACCTAATATCACACCCACAAATCTACACTACCTAATATCACACCCACAAATCTACACTACCTAATATCACACCCACAAATCTACACTACCTAATATCACACCTACAAATCTACACTACCTAATATCACACCCACAAATCTTCACTTCCTAATATCACACCCACAAATCTTCACTACCTAATATCACACCCACAAATCTTCACTACCTAATATCACACCCACAAATCTACACTACCTAATATCACACCCACAAATCTACACTACATAAATATCACACCCACAAATCTTCACTACCTAATATCACACCCACAAATCTCCACTACCTAATATCACACCCACAAATCTTCACTACCTAATATCACACCCACAAATCTTCACTTCCTAATATCACACCCACAAATCTTCACTACCTAATATCACACCTACAAATCTACACTACATAAATATCACACCCACAAATCTTCACTACCTAATATCACACCCACAAATCTTCACTACCTAATATCACACCCACAAATCTTCACTACCTAATATCACACCCACAAATCTTCACTACCTAATATCACACCCACAAATCTACACTACATAAATATCACACCCACAAATCTACACTACATAAATATCACACCCACAAATCTTCACTACCTAATATCACACCCACAAATCTACACTACCTAATATCACACCCACAAATCTACACTACCTTATATCACACCCACAAATCTACACTACCTAATATCACACCCACAAATCTTCACTTCCTAATATCACACCCACAAATCTACACTACCTAATATCACACCCACAAATCTACACTACCTAATATCACACCCACAAATCTACACTACCTTATATCACACCCACAAATCTACACTACCTAATATCACACCCACAAATCTACACTACCTAATATCACACCCACAAATCTTCACTTCCTAATATCACACCCACAAATCTTCACTACCTAATATCACACCCACAAATCTTCACTACCTAATATCACACCCACAAATCTACACTACCTAATATCACACCCACAAATCTACACTACATAAATATCACACCCACAAATCTACACTACCTAATATCACACCAACAAATCTACACTACCTAATATCACACCCACAAATCTACACTACCTAATATCACACCCACAAATCTACACTACTGAAATATAACACCCTCTAGTCAACACTATCATAATTCATCATGTTCCTGGTCTATATTTAGGTTTTGAATGTCTTTAGTCAGCTGTAGGTACTTTCAATATGGATTTGTTACCATGTTTTATCCTTTATTCATAGTCAATTGTTCTGTAGAAAAACTTGTTATTTCATATGAGGAGGTCTTTTTGTTATAATTATTTTTTACTTTTTTTAAAGATTGCTGAAATGTATTCATCACACACATAACCATCTGTTTCAAAGAAATGCATTTCATGAAGGTATTCTCCTTCAACATAATTGATGTTACTGTAGATAACACCAGCTGACTTAACATACATACCTAAATATAAAAATGTAATATTTTGTCAAGGTTGGCTGGCAGCTTACTAAGCTGGTGAATTCCCTGAAGGAGAAACCAAAAGAGGTGGTCCTGGTGCTGAAGAAACGGCCACATCATATTATGCCCTACGGACATGTTGCTAACAAAAAGAAGCAAATGACCAAAGTAGCAGTTTCAACACTACCGAAATCCATCAAGAAGCGCCGGTCAAGAGAAGGAGGTGACCCAAAACAAGTACGTCCATCCCTTCAGGAACTTGTCAGCACTGTACGGACAGATGACATGGATTCTCCAAGGTAGGCCTAGTCATTGTCTGTTTAAATCATGATGACCAGTGTCAACAATTTATAATATGCTTTGTATGGGATGAAAATACATGGGGCAGAGGAGGCCATCCTTATAGGGCATATGGATATAAACCTTCAAAGTGCTTTTCATTTAGTTAAGATAAGTCAATTTCGGCATACTAAACCAGGTGAGCAAATACAGGCCCTATGTGCCTCTTGTTACATTATCAGGACTGTGAACTAACTAACCAGTGTGGTATGAGTGTATGGTTTATACTTTATCAGGACTATGAGGTTACTTACCAGTGTGGTATGAGTGTATGGTATATACTTTATTAGGACTGTGAGGTTACTTACCAGTGTGGTATGAGTGTATGGTATATACCCTATCAGGACTATGAGGTTACTTACCAGTGTGGTATGAGTGTATGGTATATACTTTATCAGGACTGTGAGGTTACTTACCAGTGTGGTATGAGTGTATGGTATATACTTTATCAGGACTGTGAGGTTACTTACCAGTGTGGTATGAGTGTATGGTATATACTTTATTAGGACTGTGAGGTTACTTACCAGTGTGGTATGAGTGTATGGTATATACTTTATCAGGACTGTGAGGTTACTTACCAGTGTGGTATGAGTGTATGGTATATACTCTATCAGGACTGTGAGGTTACTTACCAGTGTGGTATGAGTGTATGGTATATACTTTATTAGGACTGTGAGGTTACTTACCAGTGTGGTATGAGTGTATGGTATATACTTTATCAGGACTGTGAGGTTACTTACCAGTGTGGTATGAGTGTATGGTATATACTTTATTAGGACTGTGAGGTTACTTACCAGTGTGGTATGAGTGTATGGTATATACTTTATCAGGACTGTGAGGTTACTTACCAGTGTGGTATGGGTGTATGGTATATACTTTATCAGGACTGTGAGGTTACTTACCAGTGTGGTATGAGTGTATGGTATATACTTTATCAGGACTGTGAGGTTACTTACCAGTGTGGTATGGGTGTATGGTATATACTTTATCAGGACTGTGAGGTTACTTACCAGTGTGGTATGAGTGTATGGTATATACTTTATCAGGACTGTGAACTAACTAACCAGTGTGGTATGAGTGTATGGTATATACTTTATTAGGACTGTGAGGTTACTTACCAGTGTGGTATGAGTGTATGGTATATACTTTATCAGGACTGTGAGGTTACTTACCAGTGTGGTATGAGTGTATGGTATCTACTCTATCAGGACTGTGAGGTTACTTACCAGTGTGGTATGAGTGTATGGTATATACTTTATCAGGACTGTGAGGTTACTTACCAGTGTGGTATGAGTGTATGGTATATACTTTATCAGGACTGTGAGGTTACTTACCAGTGTGGTATGAGTGTATGGTATATACTTTATTAGGACTGTGAGGTTACTTACCAGTGTGGTATGAGTGTATGGTATATACTTTATCAGGACTGTGAGGTTACTTACCAGTGTGGTATGGGTGTATGGTATATACTTTATCAGGACTGTGAGGTTACTTACCAGTGTGGTATGAGTGTATGGTATATACTTTATCAGGACTGTGAGGTTACTTACCAGTGTGGTATGGGTGTATGGTATATACTTTATCAGGACTGTGAGGTTACTTACCAGTGTGGTATGAGTGTATGGTATATACTTTATCAGGACTGTGAACTAACTAACCAGTGTGGTATGAGTGTATGGTATATACTTTATTAGGACTGTGAGGTTACTTACCAGTGTGGTATGAGTGTATGGTATATACCTTATCAGAACTGTGAGGTTACTTACCAGTGTGGTATGAGTGTATGGTATATACTCTATCAGGACTGTGAGGTTACTTACCAGTGTGGTATGAGTGTATGGTATATACTTTATCAGGACTGTGAGGTTACTTACCAGTGTGGTATGAGTGTATGGTATATACTCTATCAGGACTGTGAGGTTACTTACCAGTGTGGTATGAGTGTATGGTATATACTTTATTAGGACTGTGAGGTTACTTACCAGTGTGGTATGAGTGTATGGTATATACTTTATTAGGACTGTGAGGTTACTTACCAGTGTGGTATGAGTGTATGGTATATACTCTATCAGGACTGTGAGGTTACTTACCAGTGTGGTATGAGTGTATGGTATATACTCTATCAGGACTGTGAGGTTACTTACCAGTGTAGTATGAGTGTATGGTATATACTTTATTAGGACTGTGAGGTTACTTACCAGTGTAGTATGAGTGTATGGTATATACTTTATTAGGACTATAAGCTAACAAATGATTGTAATACAGAATATATTTTTGTCCTGATAAGCTTGATCTTATTATTTTTATGCTGTGGGGCAGCGTCCGTCATCCATCGTCCATGATCCGTTGTCCTGCATCAACTTTTTCTTTCAACAACTTCTTCTCAATAACCAGTTGACCAAATGTTTTGATATTTGTCTGATATGTTTCTAGGATGAAGCCTGACAAAAGTTGCAAAAAGAAATAACTTTGACTTGTATTTAAGGTCACAGGAGTAAAATTTGTTAAAACCTTTAAACAACATCTTCTTATGAACTCTTAAAACTAGAGGCATGATATTTGGCAAATATATGATATATATATATCAGATGAGTGCTTCAGGCCCATTGGACCTCTTATTGTCGTTATGCTGAAAGTCATGATGTAAATAAACCTTACACTTCCTGGTGTAAGTTGTATATTGCTGAAGTTGTAATACAATCTGGGTGTACAGATCATTCTGGCTAAAGAGCCTTTGTAAACTATCCAGGAAGTGTAAAAAAAACAAAAAAACTGCTCTGCATGGGAAAATATTTAATACATAGGCTCCAAATACCAAGTATATCTGAAGCATTACTGCTGTACAAATGTATTGTGATTTCAGATTTTCTTGAGTGATTTTAATAACACAATACTTTAGTATGTTGATTTGTAATGGATATCTGTCATTTGTAAACTCTTATTGATATATATTCTTTAGTCTAAAAACTCTATATGATCATGATATTTACAGACTGACCAGTGTAGTGATATTTACAGACTGACCAGTGTAGTGATATTTACAGACTGACCTTCTACAGACTGACCAGTGTAGTGATATTTAAAGACCTTTTACAGACTGACCAGTGTAGTGATATTTAAAGACCTTTTACAGACTGACCAGTGTAGTGATATTTACAGACTGACCAGTGTAGTGATATTTAAAGACCTTTTACAGACTGACCAGTGTAGTGATATTTACAGACTGACCAGTGTAGTGATATTTACAGACTGACCAGTGTAGTGATATTTACAGACTGACCAGTGTAGTGATATTTAAAGACCTTTTACAGACTGACCAGTGTAGTGATATTTAAAGACCTTTTACAGACTGACCAGTGTAGTGATATTTAAAGACCTTTTACAGACTGACCAGTGTAGTGATATTTATTTGCAAGACCAGTGTAGTGATATTTACACTGACCAGTGTAGTGATATTTAAAGACCCAGTGTGTAGTGATATTTAAAGACCTTTCACAGACTGACCATTGTAGTGAAATTTACAGACTGACCAGTGTAGTGATATTTAAAGACCTTTTACAGACTGACCAGTGTAGTGATATTTAAAGACCTTTCACAGACTGACCAGTGTAGTGAAATTTACAGACTGACCAGTGTAGCAAAATTTACAGACTGGCCAGTGTAGTGATATTTACAGACTGACCAGTGTAGTGATATTTAAAGACCTTTTACAGACTGACCAGTGTAGTGATATTTAAAGACCTTTCACAGACTGACCATTGTAGTGAAATTTACAGACTGACCAGTGTAGCGAAATTTACAGACTGACCAGTGTAGTGATATTTACAGACTGACCAGTGTAGTGATATTTATAGACTTGTGGTGGTGATGATGATGTTGATAACAAAATGTATTATTATGGCCCTAAACTATAAACGTGACAACATACTATCTGATGGGAAATAACTCTTGTTACCTTGATGGTAACAAGATCCAGTCATATTCATTTAAATATTTTAACCCATGTCCACATTAACAAGGGACAAGATATGCTAATGCATACCTGATTTATTAGTGACTAGATGTTATAACACAGGCATTTATTAATTAGTGACAAGATATGCTTACATATATCTGAGTTAATTAGTGACTAGATATTGTAATGTGTGCCTGAGTTAGTTAGTGACTAGATATTGTAACACATACCAAAGATAACTAGTGACTAGATATTGTAACACATACCAAAGATAATTAGTGACAAGATATTGTAACACATACCAAAGATAATTAGTGACTAGATATTGTAACAAATACCAAAGATAATTAGTGACTAGATATTGTAACCCAAACCAAAGATAATTAATGAATTATTAATTTTTTCATAGTTTGTATGCAAATACAGCTTTCTGATTTATCAGTTTTTTCATTTCACAATGGAAAAAACTCATCTAGCTCCACCCACTTCATCATGATTGGAAGAGTCAATGTCAACATGCCACCTTGCAGTGGGTTTGTTGGAACTTCATATTTGTATGAACAGAATATCTGTTTACACATTCACCTGTTGTGTGGATCGCTGTCATTCAATGATGTAAACTAAAAAGGGACAACAACATTCCTAAAATATTCAAATAATGTACAATATGTACAAACAATAAACAGTGAAATAATAACAGATTTATCTGGGGAAAATATGGGTTTTTTTAAATATATGATTTTGCACATTTCTGTTGAATTTTGAATGTTAAATGTCATGCAAGTGGTTATGGGTAGTGATTATTTATAAAAGAATCCTTTATAAAATTAGGAAATTTATACATTTATCTGTTTAATTTTTGCTTTTGGAACTATGTAAGAAATTAATTACATATTGTAACCTACCTAAATTGATTAATGACTTGATATAGTATTATTACCTGAGTTAATTACTGACTAGGTATTATGAAACAAACCTGAGTTTAACTGGTCACTAGATATAGTA